TATATATATAACTATTTGTTATAAATCTTATGTTGTCAATCTGAGCTTGGTAGTTGCAGGCATTATCCATGACACTGCAGAAAAAGAACCAATTGGCTTCACTACACCAGGCTAACTTTAAAAGCATTTTATTCAAAAGTAACCCAACAACAAAAGTCTCAGCCCCATATCTGCCCACACATCACAGCTGCATGCACTGTATCTTCACAGCAGGCTTTAAAACCCATCTCCATCAGGCAGTAAACAGGATTTTGACATCAGTCAGCGACTTCATGAGGGAAACACAAGGACTACGAGTTTACATAACAGCCAGCTTAATAAACAGCGGAGTGTTGCAGTGCTCAGAGGGAGGTGAGTTGAGAAAATGATAGAAAATGTAGCACAACACCTCCAGTTCACAAGCTAGCTTATTGTATAATCAGTGTTTTCCAGCTGCCTAATTATGACTATCATATAGATGGGTAATATGGCCATAATTGTATCTACCTGCTCTTTTTTAAAAAAAAAGCTTTTCTGGAGGTCTTGGACTTACTGGGGCTTTTAAAAAGATCTTTTCATCATCACAGCGTGAGGCCACACTTTTCCTGTAAAATGAGTAAATGTGTGTCTGTAATTTTGTTAACAAGTTGTGAAAAAGTGCCCATAATGCTGCCATAAATTCACACAGTGTCTCGGTCTGGCTATCCCCCCCTTTTGTGTTAAACACAAAAGTCTGTGTGAATTTTCACACTGTTAAGACCAGACCATAACCCATCTGATACATTTCTGCTTTTATAACGGCTCCAGGGAGTTTGTCCAATAGGCTTAAAAAATTCCATTTTTTAATGAAAAAGAATAACACAAGATGGTGAATTTAGTTTTTTTTACTTGGACTGAGGTTTGTGATTTTAATTTAGTTGAAAGGTGCTGAGCTTCCTATAGACAGTGATGGACTTTCAGTAATATATATTTTCATCAAAATGAAAAGAGTTTTTTTTTTTTATCTCCCAGTGGAAATTGCTCATAAACCACAGATGAAAAGATTACAGCAGGTTGCTTCATGTAACCAGTAACCTGAAGGAAAGTCCAGCTGCTGGTTCAGGTTTTTTGAAGAGTTATTTATCTTCATATTTTTATGGGTTTCAGAGGGAGGATTGTCCTCAGTGTGAGAGCAAACAACTGAGGATGGAGTGAATGAATTATGTTATCATTTATCACACATGAACATTTGRAAGTCATCATTAACCCATACTCATCTTGAGTGAAATTGTGCATAATTTACCAGGTTAGAACAAAATACATGTATAAATTATTTTTTTCTCAAAATACAGTAAGACCTCCATATAAATTCTGGCATAAAAAGCAGACATGTATTTTGTCAAAAAAAAAGTTAGGCCCTTTAATTCCGCTTTAATTGATTATTTCTGAATGTAAAGATGTGTGATGTGTTTTAGCAAAGTGTTTATTTGTATTTCTATTAATAAAATTAGTTTGTGTCTACACCTCATATTTCTATCACAACATATTCTGAATTAAATATACAGTGAGACAACTAATAAGGCYATGGTGGGATAAATGTGACCTTTTGTGACATGATTTAAAAAAAACGAAATGAAAAAAATGAAGGTTTAATTCGACTTTGTTAGGGATATTACATATATTGCCTTCACACCTCCTCTCCACTGACGCACCTCACTCGCTCCGTCTGCCAGGATGATGCGCGCTCCCGGCTGCGCGCGCTCCCTCTGTCGGCACACTGAATGGGTGTCGGCGAGAGCGTCGGTCAGCTGTGAATGAACACAAATGGGGGGATGTATTGTGCTTTTCGCGCTGCCTGCTTTCTTCAGTCTTTTAAGCGGTGCATCGCAAGCTGGGTGAGTAAAAATTTCCCTCCAAGTTGTCCCTGTAACTGAGCTACAGGCTGCTGGGTAGTTTTGGGTATTAATGGGGCGAAGAGAAGTACTTTCATGACTGTGATGCACAGTAAGGATATTTTGTTGGATTTTATTTAGATTTCTAAAACATTTTACTAGCATTTAAAACCTAAACATGCACACCTTTCTGTGAAACAGAACTATTTCCTTGCCTGTGTAAAGTATGAACTGGACGACTTGATTTACATCTGCACCAAAAACAAAACATTCATTTATGTAAGAGGCGTTTGAATCCCAATTTCTCTTGTTTTTTTCATTTATTTTTTTATTTTTTCCCCTCCCAGATTAAATATATTGAATTTGGTATCATAATTAGAGCCTGATTTTAATTGTGTGAGAGAGAAAGTTAATTGAAATACCTGCTGCTGGTATAAAGTTATTGATCGACTTGCTCAGATGTAATCAAGAGGGAGTAATAGTGTCGAGATCTTTCTTGTTCTGAGGGCTTCACCTGAAATCCAATGCTCTGCTGGCTGCTATGTGTGCAACATGCCCAACTACAGGCGTTCACATACTTGCAGGAATTCAGAGACATGTTTGGCTGCAGGGGTGTGATTCTCTGAGAAAACAGCAGGTTCATTTGTTTCACAGGACCAACCCACGAAACATCAAACCCCCAACATTGCATCAGTTGTGACACAGAGTGGGGGGGGAAATCACGTGGTGTTAAAAGGGAGGGCATGTAAAGACAGTGTGTGTGTGTTCGTGTGTGCGCTTGTGTGTTCGGGATTAATTTAGTGTCGGAATGGGCTGATAAAGAAGACAGTTGGCGAATCACTGGTTTGAAAGCTTTCTCGTGTAATTGTGAGGGCCATGTGTGCACACCCAGCTCTGTGCATGTACACGACATCCAGCCAGTACTTAACACTGAGCCACAAATCAAAATAAAAGATGAACCCCATCAACATTTTGTGAAAACGTAAAATAATGCATTGGATTTTAAGTAGACCATGGTTGCAATGGGACCATTTTTGGTTCTGGTTATGCAACAAATATGTAGGATTTCCACAACAGTTTAATCTGCAAAGCCTGCCTTGACATGTATGTAAATTTGACATGTTGAGTGTTTATCACCCACCCTCAAGACAACAAAGGACAAACGTCTTCATGCATTCAAATTAACGGTGGCATTGGATGCAAAAATATCCATCCTCAGCTGGTCCATGAATCCCAGCCTGGCAATGAAGCTGTGCTCCCATTTAGGAGCTCAAGGACCCCTCTTGGTCAATTATTTAAAATAGTGAAGAGTCCTGAGCACTCTTTAGCCATGGAGACACATTTACTACCGGCACTTAATTACACGGGGCGAGGTAGCTTGGAAAGAAAAATAATGGACGCCAACGATGAGCAGCCGAGTCACACCAAGGACACGTCGTGGCTGGTGATGATCCGAAGCCTGGAAGCAGCAAGCAATCAGTGCAGTTCATTCTAGCACCCCAAGACCAACACTAATTAAAATAATAATAATAACGTTGGTGGTCCCTTCAATTTTTCCTTGTACATACTCTGTCAGATGGAACAGAATTATCAGTCTTTTCACACAAGACTTTAGGCAGTTTGGCCAGACAGGTAAACCAGCAACYGCAAGTTTTGTATAATAATAAATCAATTCAATATGTTTTATTTTAATTTTCAGACTTAATTTGATTGCTTCGTATGTGCCTTATTGAAGAACCTTGTTGTCCTTAGTAATGCTTCAGTTTTACTTAGCTTTGGAAGACACAATGCAACAGTTCTCCAGAGTTTCTGAAGGTCTCCTACATGTTGCTTCTCTTATTTTTAATAGAGTCCTTGAGTTTGCTCATTTTTACATGAATTTGTTGAATCGGTTAAAGGCTGCAAACACAAGCAGAAGAGCCACACACTTTCAATTGTATTTTTAGGCACATTATTATAGTAACCTAGCACCCAAAGTGTGTGTTCCTTTTCTTTTGTCTGCATGAGAAAAAATGTAAAACACAGTTTAACAGCAACACGACATAGTAATGTTGCACCAACAAGATGTCTTCTAAATACCAGTTTTTAAACTTTCATTGGATTAAAAAAAATAAATAAGCATCTCCAAGCTCCTCCATATTTTTACTTTTTCTTGTTTCTTGAAACTAAATTTAAAGTTGATTTTGTCCTTTTCAATGTCACAGCTGTGTTTTTTCCTATAATATGATTTCATTAGGATTTGCAGTGTATACGTTTTCTCTAATTAACCCACTATGTCAATTAGTCTGGCATWTTTTTYTYTTTTTTTTTCTAACTGATTAAGCTTTTGGTACTGTCACATATTTCTCTACATCTGATCTACAGCTTTGAGCTAACATGCAACAGAAGCAGGAGCCCCAATAAAAATCTGTCCCAGCAGTCACTGACAGCAGACAATGAACAGAAGACCCTCTCAAAATATCTTTCTGTTAGTTCTGCCTTCTATGGAAACTTCTTCAAAAAGGCTTTTCAACAAGCCTGAGAAGTGCACAGCCTGCAGGAATTAGTGTTTAATTAATTGTCACCAATTCATGGCAGCTGAGAAATAAAATTAAGGATATCTGTCAAGACAAACCGCACGTTAGACAGTTCCTGTTGTTTGTTCGTGGCTGTTTGAAAGCTTTTGAAGRCTCTTCAAAAGTAAGACAACAAAAACCAAACATAGCAGCGCTACCACTGGACCTGTTTGTTGAATCGTTTGTGTGTCTTCCACGCACACTTGGTAAGAGAAAAAAAAGACAGGTAGAGAGTGCACCCACTTTCTTTGCTTGCAAAAATGGCAGAAATCAATTCAGAGGAGTAAAGTTAGAGGTGAGCATCAAACTGAATAACCTTTAGGCACTTAAGTGGCAGTTTTGAAAAGACCATATATCATGAGGTTATATCTAATACTGTAAAGTGGGCCTTGTCTTGGACCTTGAGAGATGGTTTTTGCCCACAGCAACTTTTATGAAATCGACTCCTAATGGAACAAGAAAAAGAGCTTAAAGACCCTSCAGCAGCACCAAGAGACAATATGTTCATTACAACGACTGTTGAGAAATCCCTAAAACATACTTATCTGTCCATTCTATTTATAGAAATACATAAAAAACTCCTACAATAGAAAAGAATGATACTAAAATACATGAAAGTATATTTTATGGACACAAAAAAATACATAATGTTATGCAACCTTTTTAACACTTTGTTATGAGAGGCCCTTTAGGCCATAATTCAACCTTGCTCTCACTTGTACTATCAAACCCTTTTATACATACTATATAACTGTTTTCAAATGTAAAAAATAAATCATGTAACCAGATTTTTGCTTTTGTTGTGGTTCTTTTTTTAAAATTTGACAACAATCTGCATTTTTTTTTCATGCTTGCTATGTGACTAATGCATTTTGGATTCTGTTGTGATCTGATTAGATTACATAACTTGTTTGTGCCTTTCAAAGTTCGAACAAACTTTTGTGTTTGCCAGGTGCAATAGATATTGTCTTAACTTTGAAAATCTAAACAGAGGTATACTTTGTGATATCAGAGAGTGTGCTGATAAAGTGTTCTCAGGTCACAAATGTTACGCCCACCAGCTCTATAAAACAGAGTGAATGAAGACTGGCAAACCAGATTACAAACASAAATCTAGTGATTCCTGAAATTGTTAGTTAAAATGTGTTGAAAATGATGCAGACTGTTTTATTTTTTTTATTAATCTAAAACAACTTGCTTATTTTTAAAGAAAATATACTTCATTTATGTAGACATGCTAGTTTATTAATGATCATTTTTATAGTAGCATCCTACATTTCTTTTTCTATTTGCAATTTTAATGTAATTAYTAAAAAAGTATTAACAGAAACAAACACAAAGTGGGTTGTAAAAACCAAGAGCTACAGAGGATTTCCTTTAAATGTTGGCRTAGAAAGACTTTATTTCCCTGCATCATTTGAATGACAGGCAGACTGGCATCACTGTATTTAGAGCTTAGCTGTAATAATGGCAAAAAAAATCATAATAATAAATTTGTCTCAAGAAATTAGATGCGAGGAAGTGCACATCTCTCACTGCGTACAGGAAACACAATTATGTAAAACAGTTTTTTAAAACACAATCAGCACCAAACACCGCCTCCCGTAACAGAACCATCATTGTCACAAACTTGACATCCATAAAGGCTTTCAGCTACCAACTCTTTCACTGATTAGTAAACAGAAAACAATTTGAATTGAATTTCCCTTTTTACAGATGGCTTAAAAGCATTTGTGTTGATTTTGAGTTCTATAGGTACAAAAATTAAAAGCTTATGTTGTGAATGTTGAGGGAAAAAAGTTCAAAGTTAATGTGATTCCTTGTAAACAGGAAGCCAGGAATAGATTGCTGTAAGCRTCTCATACTGTAGTGAACATTGTACTTTAACAAGATTTTCACTGCTGTTCAATTAGGAAGAAAAACAGCTTTGTGTACAAATCTCCAAAAGGCATTATTTTTTSCCCCAGTAGCTGTCTTTTGTTTAGGTAGAAACAACCTTCAGTTAAAACGTTTATTGATTTTCTTTGTTAGTGAGTCCATTAAAACTTCACTTCAGCCCGAAACAAGTAGTTTACAGTTTAACTTCCTGAGGATAAAACTGCTAAATTGTTTGATGAATTAAAACAATTTGATCCGCTGCCGAAGCAGGTCTCCCTTGTTTGATCTCTGCCACTTCCTGCATCAATCAACCATCAATCAGTGTGTGGACCAGCTGCCTAATAATGTTGGCACCAAAGCAAAGACAGGGGGCGTGTCATTTATGTGAAATTATTTAAGTAAATAAATAAATAAATAAATAAATAAATACTAGCCTAGCCTCAGAGAGTTTATCCTGACCCCAGAAACTTCTTCTATCTGCTTACAAAGCCTTTACTCTGTGTGTGGGAAGCTGTAGATGCAGGCATGATAATGTTGCATCAGAATTTGTATTTTGTGTGCAAGTGAGTT